CCCCAAAACCCCAAAACCCCAAAACCCCAAAACCCCGTCATTTATTATATAAAACTGCATTTAGAACCTTGATCTACTCTCCTTAAGCCCTGATCTTGTAAGCTCAAATAGCTTGGGCTTGAGTGGCTCATCACTAAAGCCTATTGACTTCCCTCTCTTCTGCCTATTAGAAGTCAGCTGAACTCTAAGGATGGATTTATCCTTTTTATGATGTCCGAGTTCTGATTTACAGTTTTTCCTCTATAATTCTCATGGCAAACTTACATCTAGTAAAGGAGCTTTCTTGACTAGGCAATTATCTTGTTTTGGACTTGCGAAGGATCTTTTATGACTCAGCTTAATGCCTGGGCTATTAGAGAACCCTCTATCATAATCATTGGGAAAGGGAGTATGAAGATGTGGCTTCTTATAAGCAGTTGCTAAACACTCATCTACAATAGTTACCCTTTAGTGAGCTATTTTCAAGCATTTTCTTCTCTTTATTAATTTTCTTTGGAAATAAAGGATGATCTTGAAATTTATAGAATAGGTTACCTCTTGGCTTATTTGCGAATTTTAGGTAGTAAATTTGGCCTAATTCTACTTCAATAGTTGATGCTAGAAGTAAGTTAAGAGAATTTACCAATTTCTAACAAGAATCTTGTCTGTGTCTTCTGTCCCTCTAATGTTCTGGTTAGGCTTTAAAGTCCCTTGGTCAAAGATCGAACTATTTAATTTTCACCATTCTTAACAGCTTTTGTCCTCTCATGTGAGTTCGTTTTGCTATAATGAAATTTATGAGAACACCTTAAATTAAATAAGCAAATTGTAGATAGCAATAAAAGTAGGAATAAATTTTAGAAAGGTCTTACTATTGGTAGATGCAAGTCTTCTTTGGAATGAATTTCCTTGTTGTTCAATTAACATTTTGGGTAAAAATGTTATGACTTCTTTTCCAGCAAGCTCGTTGAAATTTACCGATTTGATATTGGAATGAGTTCGTCGATCAGATCGAGACTTGTTCAACCTAAAATCTTCAGGGGAAAGTTCTTTCTGTTCCATAAGGCTGGTTAAGAAATTAGTAAACTAGATGATATGCAAGAAATTACTTTTTCCCTTCTCCTAGGATCATCATATCACTTAGGTGTAGATCTGTAGACATCAATATTCTTAGCTCTTGTCTGCTCAGAACTCTTCTGGCGGATACCTATTGATGCTAAGAAGTTCTTGAGGGTATTAATAACCTGCTCTTCATCTTTAGCTTTCATTTTCAATATATAATGAACTTTTGGGGTTTTGGGGTTTTGGGGTTTTGGGGTTTTGGGGTTTTGGGGTTTTGGGG